AAAATACCAATGACATTCTTCACAGAAATAGAAACAATGATCTTAAAATTTGTATGGAACCTCAAAAGACCCTGTACAGCTAAAGAAATCTTGAGCAAAAAGAACGAATTTGGAGGCGTCACACTTCCTAACTTTGAAATACACTCTAAAGCTATTGTAACCCAAAAGACATCTAGCCCAGCCCTTGCACATCATTTTAAAAATCTTTACCACTCCCACATTAACTGGTTAGATTTGGGTTTGAGGGATAAATACTCTTGACTGCTAAAATTTTAAAAAATAATTTTGCTGTGTATTACCCACTGTTTTTCATTGCTATTTTTAAGCAACCTTATTTTTCATATCATTATTTTATGTTTCTGGGTGGTTTCAGAAGTAAATACTATGAGTACTTTTATTCCTCTGGAGCTTCTTGCTCCAATAACACAATAATCTAAGTTACGAGAAAAGTTCGTCGAGGCCTGTAAATGTATATGCACAAGGGCACTTCCAGAAGTTCGTGGAAAAAAAGAATTAAAAGACAGTACAAATCTTCCCATGAACTTTTTGAAGTACCCTCATCTTTTTGGATTAAAAATGTATTTTTCCCATTTCTCTTGTGTCTCTTTTATTTCCATATTTCAGACACTTTAAAAGTCAGAAGGTAATCTTTTTTATTTCCTGGAATGTCACACTCTGGAACTTCTTCAGAAGTTTTATTTCATAAATAAGAGATGGTGAACTTAGTCATTTAATGCTCATTGGTGATAACTCATCTGGGAATTTTGATGACTTGTGCTTGCTTCACAGTCAATATTTGGTTTTATAGATGCTAGGAAGGACACATAAATGTGTCTATGGATTTTAGAGAAAGTTTTATTTCATTCCATATCCTGTACTTTATCACTGTATCTTAATTGTGGTTCACTTTTCTTTTTTTTTTTAAAGATGACCGGTAAGGGGATTTTAACCCTTGACTTCTTGTTGTCAGCACCACGCTCTCCCACGTGAGCCACAGGCCGGCCCCGTTGTGGTTCACTTTTATTCTTTTAATTTAAATTTTTTATCAAAGTAATAATTGTACATAGTTTAAAAGTAAAATAATATTTACAATGGTTATCACACAGAAAAAGCATTTTATCACTCCGTCTCTCACTTCTCCCTGCCGTGACTTCTTGCAACTCCCCACCTGTGATTGTCTTTCAATTTCATTACCTGTGTTTTTCTGGTGTTTAGCTCCATATTTTTACATAAAATGATTATTCTAGAAATTGAATAATCATTTC